TGAATGTCGCCTTTGTCTGTCACACCCATTACAGGTGTAGTCTCTGCTAATGAGCTGATGATCTGAATCAGGTGTGTTTGGTTAAGGAGAGGTGGAAAATGCAGAGCTGGTGGTCCTAGGAACGTGGTTGAGAAACACTGATGTAAGTTTTGTTTTCTTCCTAAATTGTGGACCTTTTTGGAGTTATCTGCCTCGTTTTTTTTAAATACTGCATTTTAGCTGTATTAGCTTGCCGGCTGATCATCATAGCCACACTATTTAACGTAGAGCTACCAAAGTATTTCCCAAAGATTTAGAATAAAGAAATATGAATTTAGGGCAGTACAGTGGTGCAGTGGGTAGCACAATAGAACAAAATTATAGTAAACGAGCTTTGTGAGTTGTCAGTAAAAAAGTACATTTGATTGAAAATGAATGGATACCAGCACTAGCCAAATTAGTATTCAAATTCATTTTTAATTTGGGCCCCTTTTGGTGCACAGCTGGATGTTGGACTCATGAAAAATAATAGTTTGCCTTGAACAAAAACTGATTAGCTGAAGTCATACTAATGTGACAGTCAACAGAGATTTACGCTTAGTCTTAAAGACGTTTTCAATGGGTTATTTTCACAATTTATGATGGTGAAGCAGTCAAAATTAGACAAGTAAGCTCATGGGACAAACTCTGGACCTTTGCCATTGAGAGGCGTTTTTCGAACCACACAATAATAACCCCCTGCGGACTGTACTTCTATCTCCTGTTCCTTTACACTGAAAATCTTACTGTTTTCTTCAAACCTCAAACTTAAAGGTACTGTACCTTTAAGTAATGTACCTTTAAACTTAAATACTGCAGTTGACCATAAAATTAGGCTACATTTCATTTTTAAGCCTACTCAGCCTCCACTTGTTCCAAACCTAGTTCAACTTTATCGTCTTAACACAAAGGAAGATTTACTGAAAAAATGTTTGGGGGAAATAAAACAGCCACTTCCATACTATTTAGTTCCTACAATGGGAGTCTGAACTGATAGTGAGAAAATTTTTAGTTTATGGAGCCATATCCCATTAAAATATTAGCTTTCGTGTATGTTACTTTTTCTAAACAGCAGAGGGCAGCAGAACGCGGGATAATGCTCCGCGCATGTCAGGCTGTACTAACAGAACGCAGAGTAGTCTACTTCAATAGATAACACGTAGAGCACGTGCGGCAGGATTAAACCACAACACTTAAATGTCCCTCTACAATTGCAAATGCCTGTAACAAATGTCTTAAGTATTTACAAAGCCTCCAGACTGACTGACAGGCCAGTAGGATATAAATGGTGAGAGCTCAGACAGTCGCACACACACACACCTGTTGGCAGAGCAGCTGGAAATGGGCTTTTGCCTCACCACATTCAGGGCAAACAGATGACCATAATTAACTGAAACCAGGTTAACAGCATGAGGCTAAACGGTGGACGGAGAATCACGTGACTAGTTTAAAAATGATTAATCCCTAACCACAACGTGAGAATAGGAATACAGTCTTTCTAAACAAGCACTGTAGAAAGAATTAAGTATGAAAAAAATATGTGATGCTTAATTATTTAAAATGTGGACTTGTATTTTTAAATACTTTAGATTCTATAAATAAAACTACTTGCAGGTTTACTAATATATGTATGTATGTATATATATATATATATATATATATATATATATATATATATATATATATATATATATATATAATTTTACCAAAAGTGGGGGTGAAATATATACATTCAACCCCATTATTATTATTATTATTATACCCCCCCCCCCAAAAAAAAAAAAAAAGAATAAATAAATGTTTTTTTTTTTCATCTTAATAGACAATAAAGAGAAAAATAAATAAACTTTTTCTGAAATATTTGGAGTAAACTATATAATTAGTGTATTTTAAAATGTATTATTTACAATTTGTATTATAACTTCATTAAGTATTTTACGTTCATGCATTACAATTGTGTAATCACCATAATCATATATTTAACAGGGTAACAGGCTGGACATTGCAATAAGAACTAAGGCAACTTGTTTGCCACACCCTCACTCAGTTATGAACAACAAAATGAGGTAACTGAATTATCAAGAGGAAAAAAGCATCCTTTGTCTCATCTAAGACATCACATCAGTTGTCAAAAAATCCAAATGATTAACAAAAAACATGTACAATTTCATGCAAATAGTACAGTAAAAACTGAAATTGTTATAGTTAGGAAAATATATAAAAGATTTAAAAAAGTGTACAAAATATAATGTTTTTAGGGCAACAAAGCTCAACAAGGCATCCCAAATGACGTGACAGGCAACATTCTGCCTTACCCGCCCACCTCCAAACACTACTCCAGTCAGGCACACCTCGCAAAATGGCTAGTAACGTTGATGTAATCCTCCTATATAACCAACAGCGGGTCTGACGTTTGAAAGCACTTTGGTTTCCCTGTAAGTTATGAGGGTGATGGCAAGAGAGTGGTGGATAAAAAACAATGACATCTGCTATGACAGTAAGCTATTTTAGCAATAATATTTGAGCATGTCAATTTATTTACACTGACATCACGGAATCAGTAACTGGAATTAGCCGAAAACTGGAAACACGCGCACTACATGCAATTATCCATGCAACATTCAGACAGGAAATTACTACATATACAAACAGAGCAAAACAAATCACCGAGGCGATCGATACATTTATAGCTGTAGCAATGACACTTTAATCGGTAGTGGAAATTTCGGTTTGAAGAACATCTTACAAGTAATAGAGCCCCGTTACATTATTCCTTCATAAGCCCATTTCAGTCAGATAATTCCTGCTTTCAGGTCCACTAAAATAGCAGGTGACAGTCAAATCAAGCAGATCTGTGCTGTCTGAAGAAAAGGTGGACACTCATCTTTCTAAAATAAAAAAGTACATAAAAATTGATTGAAACTGAGTTCTATAAAAAAAAAAAACTAAATTGTTCTTTTCTATTTGTTTAACTACTACAATATTACATTTATTTTTTATAAGTAGCCTTTTGATTTTGAGTAAAAAGAAGGATTTGTTTTATTTGCTGCTAAGCAGAAAGCCCAGAAGTATAGCTCTATCACTGTTTAAAGTAAAAGAAAAAAAGATCATACTTTAATGATGTTAGTTTTAAAACAATAAAAAAAAATCAGAGAAATCCTCTAGGTTTTTCATTTTTTTGCTGTGTTAAAAACATAATGAACTGTGACACCACTGTGTCGTATCGAACAGAACCATGATCTTTGTGAAACGTTACATCCCTAATATATATATATATATATATTTTTTTTTTTTTTTTTTTTTTTTTCTCAAAAATAAATGTTTATTTTTTGCTTCAATACAAAATATAGAGAAACGTAAATAAACTTTTTCTGAAATATTTGTGGTGAACTATATAATTAGTGTATTTTAAAATGTATTATTTACAAATTGTATTATAACTTTATTAAGTATTTTACGTTTATGCATTACAGTCGTGTGATCACCACAAACATATATGATTAACAAAAAGACACACCAATAAAAAAAACTCAGCCATTATAGGTTAAAGGTAAACAAGTTATTTTAATCTTTAATCGAGTGGTTGGGTTTGTTCATATTTTACCCAAATATGAGTTGAAAGTATTTTTATACTTTTCAGATGTTCAAGTATAAACATTACAGCTGTAAAAGCTAAACAGTTCTTTCAACACTTACTGTATGTCATTGTAGCACTTTTCCACTGAGTAATTTAGAAACCACCTCCCCTACCGCCTGACATCCTCTTACCAGAGACAATGCAGAAGGGACTAAAAACCCCAGCTGGTCAAACAGAGCTGACCAAATTGCTTGAGCGGTGTTTCTTATGCGCATCCACAAACAAGTAGCATTCAACTAAACAAACTGAAGTACCTCATTGTTAAAGGTTGCCGCTGTTCTGTCTCTTTTCAGCTGCTTTAAACTTACAAAAAATGTGTCAACGACAGGTTTATGCTAATTAGTATCTTTAGTGAATGCAGTAAAACAGTATCCAGTGTAATCCAGCTTACTGTAGGTCAGTAACAATCAGATAAACAGCATCTCTTCTGTGGGCGGCTGACATTTGGAGATGACAAAACACAAGCACTCAGGCAGACAACTGAGGTTAATTCAGCATGAACCACTTAAACACAGGTTACGGTGATTTTTAAAGATTATCATTTTAAAATCTTCATGATTCAACATGTACTATATTGTATTGACCACCACTGCTTTTTTATGTCATGTACTAATTTACATTTTTTATTTATTATCTGTGTTTAGCCTACACACATGCACATCACATTTTCATGCTTCAAGGGAGGTTCTTATAAACATAATCACATTTATATCGTAAGGACTGTATTTTGTGTGCTATTCCCAACCCTTTCCATAAACCCAACCCTCACAGAAAACATTCTGCACTTTTACATTTATCAAAATGGTTCATTCTGGATTATTTACGAGCCTCTTTCCTCATGGTTGGCCAAAAAAAATCCCCACAAGCCTACATAATCCTACATTATAACTATACTTGTGGACATTTTGTATGAACACCAGTTGAACGCACACACACACACACACACACACACACACACATATATATATATATATATATATATATATATATAAGTTGGCGGTTCATTCTGCTGTGGAAACCCCTGGTTATTAAAGGGACTAAGCTGAAATAAAGTGAATAAATTAATACATTTCATTTCTTTTTCTAGCACTATGAGGTTTGCGTTCTGCAAGTTGCATTTGTGTACGTGAAATTTACATAATAATAGTACAAAAACTAACTTGACTAACGTCAAAGAGCATGGAATCACCATTCTAAGCTCTTTGCTAACGTTACTGTGTGTTGTGTATTGCGGTAACTATGGCTACCACTGTTTTCTTTTTTTCTTTTTTTAACAGGGTTGCCGTCACGTCTGAATCGACTGTTCTGTCTCGTCGCTCGATTAGTTCAGCCTGACGCAGTGTCATAAGCAGCAAACATTCCTCGCGCAGCTGAGAGTGAGTGAGCGAGCGAGTGAGTGCAGAGGGACATGACATCGACTGTCAGAGCTGCTCTTCCCCGCACACAACATGGGCTCCACCGCCCATACCACCAAAACCAGAGCTCAAGCATCAACGCAATGTCCCGGACTCGGTTCTGTGTCGTGAATAGCGCGTATTGTTAGGCTATTTGAGGTGTAAAGATGTGGGTGATGGTGCTGTGGACTCAGGACAAGATGGCAGCAGTATGAGAAACACACATCAACATGCTGTGAGTTCAGTTGAAGTGTGTAAAATGATCGGAGAAGACCTGGATTATATCTACTGTTACTCCGTGTGAAAGGTGAGACTTTTGCATTTTGAGCGATTGTGATTTGTTGTTTATCGCGGAGGCTTTCTGGAAGATGAAAACAAAAAACGGATGACCACATCGGTTGTGTGTCAAATCCTAGTGAGTTGCCTACTAAGGAAACAGGTTAGGGTGTTGGGGATGTTCGATGCAAACGTTGATTGTGAACAAACTAATGTTTTTTAATTATGCATGAAGTCCACACGAATGCCTTGTCAAGGTAACGTAATCATATCACCAGTGTTGAGATATTCATTTGAGGCAGGAGTCTAGCTCTTTTATGTTACCATTTAAATGGGAAGTTCGTAGCCTATGTGTATAATTTCTTGCTTTAATTATTAATGGAACATTGCATCATTTGGTCTTACGTCACTAAATGAGGAAAAGGTAGCTAGTTGGATGATAACAATAGGTTTGTGCGTCAAATTTTTCAGTTTAAAAGGAAAATTTCTTTTAGAGGAAAGTTTTACTGGAGGATAGAGGTAAAGTTGGTTTTATATTCGTTTATTCAGACATTCATCTTAATAATATAATTTCAGAAAATAATTCTTTGCAAATTCTAAATAGGGAAATCATATTAGCAAATGACTATCAAAGTACAACATTGTTCACAGTGAATTAGATAGTGTTATTGATTTTTAGAAGTTATACTTGTAAAAGTAACACAGTAATCAATACAGAGACTGCTAAATGAATGAATGTGTGAATAAAAAAAACAAATTTACCTCTGGAGACTGGAATAGAAAATACATAAATATTGCATTTTTAACAAGGCAAAAGAAATACATTTTAAAAATCTACCTAAAATTTATCCGGTTAATTTTAGTATTTTTGAATTTTGGACTTTAACAGCTTCTGTTCTATCTGCAAACGAGCAGAGGAGACATCAGTACAGATTTGACATTTGCCGTAAAATCTCAAAACATAAATTGACAGTGAGAGTATATGTTAACATTATATTGAAACGTCTCTTTATATTTTCCAAAACAACTAACCACAGAGTTATGGGATCACAAAAAATATCAGTCTGAAACCATATTTTATATTTTAAACGAGGAAAATCAAAAATGCGTTATGGATGTGACGAAAAAACTCTGCAAGTTTACAGCAACATACTTTGTAGAAATTCTACGACAAAATTTTGCCTGCAAAATAAGTGATTGACAGGTGGTAATTTGTGTAACGTATCTTTATTTATTTATGGTTTAGTTATGGGTAAAACAAGACCATGCGGTTCAGTTAGTTGAAATGGTAGGCTACAAATAATTAATTCACCGTCGGCAATAACGACGATCCATACTATGGTCGACATCGCACATACCTAAATTGTGTATTTTAAGTGTTTCTTTTTAAAATTTGTTTTTATCTATGTCTGTGAATAGTTTATTACGTTTTATTCAGATGCACTTTTCTATAGAATCATCTCAACCTAAATCTAAAATCATTTATCCTTTTCAAGTAGAGATATTAAAGTCATCTGCTGAAATGGTAATCATTTTGCAGTATACATCACAGAAATGTTGTGTTGATTTTTCCAATATCGTGCAGCTCTACTTCAAATGTTGACTTCTGTATAACGAAAGGTATAGTATAGATATCATACTATAATTCTATTATTTATTCATTATTTATTTATTATTTATATTAATCAATTACCTATTATTTCAATGCCGTTTAAGAAAGCTTTAGTGTTAGCTAGCTCACAGATGGAATATTTGTTGATTGGATTGATCCAAACAATCATAACCATACTAAAGTCTGCACAAGACAAATACAGAAACAAGCACATTAAGGGAGGGGTTTATTTCAGCTATAAATATCTTGATGAGACGCGGAAAAAAACAAAAAACAAATAGGAGAATAAATGAAACTAAGTAAGGAGAGAAGATAATTGAGTTTGGAGAGAAAGCTCTAGTCAACAACCGAGTGCATTAGGAGACTTTTTAAAAGTGCTAATTGAGGTTGTTTTGAGGCAGCATGCGTCTGCAGTGGAATAGGTCAAGTGTTAAATAAAAATAGACTCATTTACTATGCATGAGAAAAACTCATGTGGGGTGTTAACATTACCCGTTGTGCTTTGTCAGTATTTTTAAGATCTGATTAAACAGAGTTGCTTATCTTCTTGATGAAAACACTTTTTAACTTAATAGTAAAATGTGAAGAGATGGCTTTAGTTTTAGATTTGAATGTATGCTACAATGGTGTTTTTTGGGGCTTGGAAATGCAAACTTTGTGGCAAGTGAAAGTTTAAGAACTTAATTGTTGCCACAAACTACATCAAATGTGATTTTGGTGGTTTAATATTTGTTGATACTCTAATTGCAGACTGTATTAGATGCTAATCGAACAAAATGCTAATCGATTAGCATATTAGCTTTAGACGGCAGGGGAGGGACTGTGTTTCAAAGCCACGCCTCCTGAAATCGTGAACGTGCGCACCGCGACACGACAGCAGACAACCCACTGGTTCATGTCATTCGCAAGTTAGAAGTGCATGTGGTGGTTGGCCCGGTGGGGTGCAGGAATTTCACTTATTACTATGCCACACTTTCATGCTATTTCAGAGCGAATATTTAGAGTAGCGGTGATCAATATCACAGGCTGTCATTGTTCAGAAATAAACCAATGTGAAAATAAAAGCAACTTCTGCTCAGTATAGCAGGTTAGGCAGTATAGCGGTATTTACCAATCTTTAAACTAAATATAAATCTACATTATCGATGCTGTAAAAGGCCCTTACGAAATTGACAATAGTCTCATCAATGATTCACCGGAGTATTTCAGTGACTGAACAACACGTCTGTGCATATAACATTAACCGATTTGTAACAACATCTGCATCAGCTCTGTGACTAAAAGATTTTAAAACAGAACATTACCTGTCTAACAGAAATACTTGAACCGTAGTATCGTCCTTCCTCCAGGATGCAAAAATAACTCCAATGTTGATTCAGAAGTTAAAAGAATTTCAACTCAGCATTTGGTTTTGCCGCAACTGTGACTGTCTTGTGTGCACGTGACGTGAACACGTGGCGCTCATGCAGGGCGGGCACACGATAATGGCGGATATGCGTGAACGGAGATGCGCAAAAGCCCAAATCTGCATTTGTTATTACAGTTTGAGCTACCTATCAGAATTATGGGAGTTGTTGGCCCAACAATATTTAATTGGATAAATATTTTTTAGTTTTGAGTTCAAATCAGTTTTTATAATAGAACCTTCAGTAAATTTTGAGTTAGTGACACTCATTTTATTTGATAAAGTTGACTGTTGGGTTTACAGTGTAGTACGGTGTTTCCCAAAACCTTTGTTAGGCAATTAAAATAGGAAGCTGTTCTTCGAAGCATTTCAGCTATCCAGTGTTTCCCAAATCCATCATTCCATAAGCATTCACAAAGACCATCCAGGGTTTCTGCAGGCTTTACCTAGTAAAATTTAAGACTTAAGACATTTTTAAGACCATTATGAACAAAATTTTAGACCTACAATAGGCTAAATGCTATAATTGTAACAGTTTAACTGACTCACAAATTGATACTATTACTGAAACTAATCTCACGATTCATCATTCATTTTTTTCAAAATAAAAGCTTTTCTAGACTCTTTATTATAAACAAACTAAAACTGACTGTGCAGCTACATTACAAATTCAAAATGAATACAAAATCAAAAATGCACAATACAAATTAAAGAAGGCCCTTTAATACAAGCAAACAAAAAACTAAAACTGCTGGGATTATACACTTTTACAAGAAATATCAGAATAGCTATGTTTTCTGGTATAAGCTGAGGTCTTTGAAAAAAAAACAAAAAAAAAACGCTTTCACTGGGGACTGAGATGGCTGGTGTGGAGAGGAAAGGCTTTCCTAAACCAGAGAGCAGTGTGAGAGGTGGTCAATAGGCCTTCTGCTCCGCGGGACTGGCCAGTGGCATAAAAACTGTTTATAATATATGATAAAATAAGCAAATTATTAAAATTATGCATAAACTAAATAAAAAAGAGAGGGGAAAAAGGAACAGTCTAATACCTGGTTCTGTAACAACACTTTCTCTTTTAGTCAGAAAACATCTTTACACTTTCGTTATAAACGCTGATGCACTGTGTGGTCTCCTAGCACTCGTCAGTGCAAGCAGAGCTAGCAATCCTCCGGTCAGCGTGGTTTTGCCTTTTAATAGCTTTTTGCGTATAGACATGCAAGTAACAGTCTTTTTGCAGTATTTGCACAGAGATTACACTTCACTGCTGTCATTTTAGTCTACTGCTCCACCTCTTGCTCGCCGCTAATGTGCAGCAGTGAGTTTGCACTCCCTCTGTTCATATTTGAATCGATTTTTAACCGATTCATGGTGAAGTGTTACATCCCGACTATTTTCTTTAAATATCCCATTTAGAAAAGGTTTTTACTTGATAATATAATCATTTAGTTTGAATATAGTTTTTTTATTAGTTTTTAAATATATTCATTCACAAACCCTATAACCCCTACCAGTGATAGAACAAAACATATCTGTCAATGACTTTAGTCTACAATAATAATAATCATAATAATAAATAATAATAATAATAATAATAATCATAATAATAATCATAATAATAATCATAATTTAATAATGTAAAATACAAGTAAGGTCAGCATCCTCAGCAGTAAATACATGGAGAAATTTTAAGCAAATTTTACTGTAAGGAAAGTAATTAAATGCTATTTTTAAACTAAAAATGGTCACACTTTACAATAAGGTTCATTAGTTAATGTTAATTAATGCATTTACTAACATGAACAAACAATAAACAATACATTTACTACTGTATTTGTTCATGTTAGTTAACGTTAGTTAATGAAAATACAGTAGTTCATTGTTAGTTCATGTTAACTCATGGTGCATTAACTAATGTTAACAAGCATGGACTTGGATGCTAATAATGCATTAGAAAATGTTCAATTATGATTAATAAATGCTGTACATGTGTTGTTCATGATTAGTTCATGTTAGT